TGTGTGTGTGTGTGTGTGTGTGGTGTGTGTGTGTGTGTGTGTGTGTGTGTGTGTGTGTGTGTGTGTGTGTGTGTGTGTGTGTGTGTGTGTGTGTGCGTGGCGACTACCAGGGTGGCGGGGTGGTGAGGTGGATGGGGTAAAGCACATCACACGTTGAGTCGCAGGCCACGGCGAGCGCCCAAGAAGGGAGTGACAAAGCAGCACCAGTGGAATTCGGGTGCTCGCGTGCAGGGCGTGTGCACTGCGGCGCGCTGACAAACGCAACATGCGCATCGCGACCAACTAGAATGGTGAAAAAAATGAGGGAGTGCGCACGCCCCACCGTTGATATGTCGTACATGACTCTCACGCTCTCCTTGAGCTCCACCAGCTGCTGCATCTGCTGCAGCAGCACGCAGTGCGCGGCGCTGCTCCAGGGCTGCTCCGGCAGCTGCCACCTGCGCGCGACGTGCGGGGCAGGGGTGTGTATGCTCAGAAGCCTCGGAAATGGGAAATGGGCCTGTCAGCACACGCACACGCACACGGACACACACGGACACATACACACGGACACACACACTCACACACACACACACAGCGTCACCATGGTGCCCGAACTGGGGGTTGGACGTGTGGCAATCGGGCGCGCGAGCGACCCAAGAGTGTGCGCACCACTTATGCAGCACGTGCTGGAACCCCGCGTTGATGTGCTGCTCGGCGCTGTTCATGTCGAGGGCCTGCAGCGCCGCGTAGGTGCGGATGAGGCACGACTGCGGGGACGGCTCGATGGTCATCTGCTTGTTGGTCTGGGGTGGGTTGGGGGGTAAAGGACGAACGTGTTGGCGGTTTGCATGAGTACGAAAGACGGCGTGTGTTCGTGAATGTGTGTGTGATTGTGTATACGAGAGAGAGTGTGGGCCTGTGAAGGAACTGAGGTCAACGAGCAGCTGGCAATTGATGCGCACTGAGGACGCGTCATGCCAAGGCGTATGTGCTGTGTATCATGCGCCGCGTGTTGCATGTGTGTATGTTGATGTGTGGTATGGGAAGGGGGCCAGGTGGATGTGGGGCAATCCGAAACGCGCGCACGGCCGGCGTGCGAGCGGGCAGGTAATGCGCCGCGCCGCGCCCCTCGATCACCCCCCGGCCGCTCACGTGCGTGGCGCCGCCACCCACCAGCACGTCTCTCAGCCTGTCCCACTCGCTGAGCCGCCAGTAGCAGTCCGCCAGCAGCGCGTTGTTGTCCGCAGCCAGGGCGTACTCCTGAGGGGTGGGGAGGGGGAGGGCGGCGGGCGCGCGCGCGTGTGTATGTATGCGTGAGTGTGTGTGTGTGTGTGTGGTGTGTGTGGATGGTTGTGTGTGTGTGTTTGTGTGTGTGCGCGCGCGCGTGTGCACCCACATGTGCACACATGCACCCAAGCGCTGGGCAAGCGCTGGTCAACCACTGGTCAACCGCCGGTCAACCGCGGGTCATCCGCTGGTCAACCACTTGTCAAACGCCGGTCAAAGCGCGCCCACCTGCAGCGCGTCCCACTGGTTGAGCTGCTTGGCCGCGTTGACCCACTGGTCCACCCACAGCGCGCCCTCCCCGCGCGACGGCTGCGGCGTGAGCGGCGCGGCGGGGGCGGCATCAGAACCAGGGGAGGGCGTGGGGAGGGAGGCGCCGTCGGCAAACCGCGCTTGGCTTGGCAAAAAATACAAGCCGTATACGGCCAGCACTGCTCCATGCGTCAGAGGCAGGCGCATCAGGGGGAAGTGAGCGGTGGCGGCGCGCGTTGCGGTGGTAAGGACAGAAAAGAGTAATACGTGCACACAAAAGCGGGAGATTTGTAGAGCAGATGTGCATAAAAAACTATCCGACTTGCCCACCAGCGCCGCGCCGCTGGAGACGGCCTGGTTGAGCTCCCCCAGCAGGTTCTGCGACCCGGCCCACTGGCCGTGCTGCGCGAGGGACAGCGCTGCGCGCGTCTTGGGCTCCTCGCAGCGCTTGCGCCAGGCGCCGTAGAACGCGTCCTCCTCGTGGAGCTTTGTTTGGGGGGGGGCGGTTGGCGGCGGTTGGCGGCGGTTGCATGGCAGGTGGACTTCGAGGTCGAAAGGCAATGTGGGCGTGCAGATGGTGTTGGGGGAGGAGGTGAGGTAGGCTTTCCGGCGCGCCTGCCGCCGCAGCACGTTGAATGGCAGTGGCTTCTGACACAGGCGGCGCCTGCAAAGATGGAACCGAAACCCCCGGACAAGACCGCCCTGTCGAGCTTCGAGATTCAAAAGTACGGAGTTGATGAAACCGCCCACCAGGCGGTACATCTCCGCGAGGCTGTCGAAGCAGCGCGTCTCATCGGGGAAGATGACCGTGTGGCTCTCGAGCAGCGGCACCGCGTGCTGCCACACGCAGAACGTCTGGCGGGGGGCGCGGGAGATTGGACTTGCGTGTGTGGGTGTGTTGTATATGAGTGCAGGGAGTGCGCGACGAAGCACGCCCATGGCACCACCACAGAGGGCCGTTCCCAATCTCATGCCCAAGGGTGCCGCGCCGTTCGCCCGACCCCCATTGGTCGAACTTGCCAGCCCGTCGATCCCGCGAGACAGGCGACACGACCTCAAGGCGAAACGGAGGACCGTTGAGTGTGCGGTCCGTTCTCCACCCCGACGGTGCGTCCCTCTACGCCCCCCGCCTAACAACACCCTCCCCATGAAATCCCATAGCGCACCTTCCCCAGGAACCGCAGCAGCTCTGGCGGCACCTTGGGCTGCGGCTGGCTCAGGCTGATCGCCTCAAGCATAGCCTGGGTGGGGGAAAAGGGGTGAGTTGCCAGGGGGGGGGATAGAAATGGGGGGTCAGGGGTGCTGAAAGGAGGAGATGCACCTGCTTGGCAAGCGCACACCGCATGGGCAGGGGCTCCGCCGCCCGGCTGGCTGCCTCCAGCGAGCGGCGTCCCCACAAGCGCATTTCGCCTCGCCACAGGACGCTCAAAGACACCAGAACCCTTCCACGAAACCCCCTCCCCCCACGCACAAGCACGCGCCGCCCTCCCTCTCGCGAGCGCTGCGAAATGCCATGCCAAACGCCCCCCTAGTCCTCGCCTGCATGACGTTTGGCCGCGCGAAGGCCTGGCGCTGGTGGTACTCCCGGGCCAGCAGGTGTATGATGGGCTTGGCCAGGCCGATCTGCTGCTCCTTCTTGAGGTGGCTCCAGACGATGGGGAACACCAGGACCCTGACGGGGTTCAGGTTTAGGGGGTTCAGGTTTTCAGGGGTTCAGGTTTTCAGGGGTGGAGGGATCAGGGTTTTGAGACTAGGGGTTGGGATTGGGGGGTTGGGTCTCAGGTTGGCCATTGATGATTTTGGGTTGTGAGTGGGGCACAGGGCTGAGGTTGCGTGGTCGGGATTGAGAAGAGGTGGAGAAATGCAGAAAAAAGGGCGGGCGCGAGGTAGGCGAGGGGCGCGCAGGAGGGCGGGGTCGCGACGCCAGGGGG